CTTGACTTGGGGGAGCCACCCTCGTTTTTCGCTTTGCAGAAACCAGAGGATTGCTGCAAACCCACTGCAATTGCTCTGTGAACCTCCAGGGGGCCACGGAGCGCCGGCTGAAAACCCCTGACGCAGTGGGTGAGCTTTGGTGAAGTGAGCCGCGGATACAGAAGCAGCACGAGAATTAATTCACATCGCTATTCACAATTTTCAGATACCCAACAAGTGGTTTTTCAAACATTAAAAGTGGGAATGTGAAAGATCCAAAAGTGGACTTTGTGACAGGAGAACAAGAATCTTTTTTTTCTAACTTCCGTTGACAGCTAAAAATTCAACCACTACGTTTTTAATATACTGGTCATAACCATGTAGGACAGCCGCTTCTTTAACTAACTGTATACATACACAGAACCATTACTCCCCCTGGTGGTGAAATATGAACTGCACTAATCCTGCACCTCTCTCATCATTGTCAATGTCTAATTAGCTAATCAGAGGACGGGATGTGATGTCCGTGTGATTCAGAAAGCCGAAATCGCATCCTGCGATTATTCGGGTTTATCGGTCATTCTGCATAAGCAAAGCCTTCACTGCACAGGCGGAATCCTTCAGAGCAAATCATTTGACCCAAAAGAACTAAGAGGAAGAGAACAGAAAAGAAAAGCGGGGAGTAAGATAAGAGACTGCGTGCCAATACTGAACAGACACGCGAGATCCGTTCATCAGAAGTGGATTCGATCTCCTTACCCAGGAAATATCACTCAGCAGTTTTTCTCGGTTAAATTCGACCACCTGTACTTACATCATCTCCGTCTGACTCTCTCTCCCAACCTGGATATTAATCTTATGAATTTAGCTAAAAACTAAAAACCTCCCCAATATTTCCCTCCATTCTATGGAAATTTGCTGGACATGCATTAAGTTAATGCAAATTAATAAGCCCATGACAATGATTCTGCATTAGTAAACTCCAGTAATCCAACACAATCCAAAAAAAAGGCTGTGGTGGACTTTCTCGTTGTCTGTTAAAACAACAGACAGGACCGTAGAAATTCCTTCAGTCTATTATTACTTATTTTAATTTTTATTATTTAATGAGGATAAGACATAATTATTAGCATTTTTTGCATTCATTCATTTTAATTTCTAATAATTAATATAGAGAGCAGGCTTGTAGATCATGCAGGTACGTGATCGGCGTTCTCAGTCGTGGAAGACTCACGAATCAGCCCGACATGTCGGCTATGCGCTCACGGACGGCGCTGCCTGTGGTCATGGCTGTCACCGTGAGGTTCTGCAGACGGCGTCATGCACGTCAAATAAAAGACAAGACTAATTAATATGCTGACTCGCCGCCAACTGGACAGGGGCGTGAATAACTTAGATTAAAAAATTTTCAATGACGGAAAGTATTCGGTTAACACGACCTCAGGCTGACTGTGGCTCTGGCACTTTATGGTGACAGTCTGCTCATTCTGAAATGCAAATCGTGCATTTCCCACAAGGATTACAGCCCATGGTCGGCCTGTCGAAAATGTCAAAATAAGCTTGGTGGATTTCAGGCCACTCGACAATGAGCATTCCCCTAAAATGGAAATACGACATCCTATTTTATATCCTTATATTTTAAGTTGCATCTAATCCTACCCATAAGTGATAAAATGCCAATTTTCTTCTTTCATTTTCTGGTCTGCAGTTTCCTACAATTCCCAGAATTCCCATTCCCAATTCCCAGAAGGCCTTTCACCATCAGCTAAACTCTGGGGAAATCAGCCTTCAACATCACCACAGCGGGATTACAAAAAAAAAGTAATTCGCATGAGAGGACTGAGTATATTTATACTGAGTATCAGCAAAACATTGATTACGTGCAAAACTTTTCACAGATTTGCAATAAAGTACAAAGCAAAATCTTCATTGAACGAAATACAACTTGCCATAAAACAAGGTGCATGATACAGAATCTGACGATGAATAAACTAATATTAATAATGTCATTGATAGAATGGGCATTTAAATACCTCACCAATAGCAGTGCAACGCTGCTCCCCGCTCCTCAGATCCAGCCCAGAACAGAACTACCAGGGGAAGCCTTTTCAGACTGACCTCTCCGCCATTGTACAATGCTGTCTAAGGGGGCATGTAGGGGTCCACAGGGATTTTAAGCACAACCACACTACACAAACCCATGCACTGGTGCCTAGTCACTGACGACCCACTGAAAGACAGCCTAGACACGCATGCTGATCCACGCTTCACCAATAGGGCGGCGCCACAGAGGAGAGACAAGCAGAACCACAGGCTGAAAACCTCAAGGATGACATTTGTTTTGTACCTTTCAAGCTGTAAAGGAAATAAAAAGAAAAACAAGCCCACACAACTAAAATCCAACCACAACACAAAACTGGTGTGTTTCTGTCACTGAGCCACTCTGAAATATATAAAAAACAAACAAACAAAAAAACAAACAAAAAAAAAAACCAAACAAACAAGAACCACATCTTTGGTACACAGTGAGAGCCACCCTCTGAAAAGCTGTGTCAACATGATTTAATGCCTTCGGCTGCCTTGGGATTAAGGCGTTCGACCATTTTTTCCAAGATGAGAGCACGTGCCATCTATAAAGCAATGTAGCTGAAACATGTAATGCAAATTAATTATAATGTGCAGTTAAATTTAAAATGGAAACTTCAAAATGTGCTGGACATTACACAGCTTAAAAACAGGTGTAAAAGGGGTTTCGTAAAACGGACCAAACTGCCGAGGAAACCGTCGCTTGTAAAAACGGGTTCAGATGTAAGCGGGAATCTCCCACTTCAATCAAGGCCACAGGAGGGCGCCACTTCAGCTCACGTCGATCTGCTGGGTAAATCATCTACCAATTTCAATAGAGAACAGGCAGGACGGGGAACATGGGCGTTCCTGCTGTCCAAGGAAGCAGCATTTCATACCCAGCTTTTACAAAATGAGTTTACACCTTTATAATAAATTAATAGTATTTCAGTTCCTTGGAACACTGGATTAAAAGCACAAATCAGGGCTCGGGGCCTAGCTGGACGGCTCACTGGCCATCACTCGCAGGCAGACAAACTCGCTTCCAGTTTACCCGCAGTGCTAGACGCCACACACAGAATCCAGAATCCAGGACGCCGAATGAGAAGTGTGATATGCGATGACAGCTGACACGCTCCCCCTACTGGCGACACCCAGTATAGCCCTGTTAGTAGGTGCCTTCCGTTCGTTAATGGAAAAGACACAGAACGAGCAAAAGAAGAATCGGACCTTAGACTTCGGCAGATAAAAATGGAGAGGTCCGCCCCCCCGCTTGCTTTCTCACTGGCTAACGTGTCGCCCGGGAAGCACTAAGTGACAGAGACCGTGCACAATGACTGATCGCTGGTCTGCGGACAAAAGCACACGGCTGCTCCTAGGAGGGCGGCTTATTATAGCCAAACAGTCCGATTGGAAGATACTTCACGTGTGTGGACCACTGGGCTGTAAGCTGGAAGAACTTAATGTCGTTCCACTCAACACCATCTATGGAAACTGGAAACCAGACAACACAAGGTTATGAGGATAAAGGTGTTTCTGCTTCAGACACTTACAGAGAATAAGGCAAACCAGAATAACCCTCGCAAACAAGTATAGTTCCTCCTCCTTTCCTTTAGGTGGAGTTGTGGTTCTGTTTAGTCACAGCTTTGATATGTAGAATGACCTGCAAGCACAGGATGTGAGTCCCATTGCCCCACCCTGTCCCGCTCGGGGGGGCCTCACCAGGCACTGACCCTGCCCGGCCTCTTCCGCATGCCCACTTTCCTGCCCTTTCTCCCTGCCCGCCCCCTTCTGCATGCCCACTTTCCCGCCCTTTCTCCCAGCCCGCCCCCTTCCGCATGCCCACTTTCCCGCCCTTTCTCCCTGCCCGCCCCCTTCCGCGTGCCCACTTTCCTGCCCTTTCTCCCTGCCCGCACGGTGGCACCGTACCTTTAAGGATGGTCTGCTGCTGCTTGGCAGAACAGATGAGCCGTGTGATGCCCTCTATGACCTGGCTCTTCGATTCCACATCCTTCTCTCTGGGCTTCTTCCCCAAGAAGATGGTTGGCACTTCAGGGTGATGGAAAACAAGTATCACAGGGGGAACTCGCAGACTGAAATGACTGGGCTTACAGATAGCTTGTCTGCCTGCTGGAAGATTCATTTTGTTCTACAGCATCACATAAATTTTGCCTTTTAGCTCACCAAGCAGTGTGAGCCTGGCCGTGTGCCATCCCTGGGCAGAGTACCACTCCCCTCCCCTCCCCGTGTGCCATCCCTGGGCAGAGTACCACTCCCCTCCCCATATGCCATCCCTGGGCAGAGTACCACTCCCCTCCCCATATGCCATCCCTGGGCAGAGTACCACTCCCCTCCCCGTGTGCCATCCCTGGGCAGAGTACCACTCCCCTCCCCGTGTGCCATCCCTGGGCAGAGTACCACTCCCCTCCCCGTGTGCCATCCTTGCCTTTCTTGTTCTTCTCCTTGGTGACCACGGTCATCGCCATAGTGTTGGTCTGAGGCTGGCCCTCGCCAGCGCCCCCACCAGGGAGCCGGCTGACCTGCACGGAGCGGAAGGCGCTCTTCAGGGTGTTTTTGGAGCCCGTGTCGCGCCGTTCGCCCTCCCGCCGCTTCTCCACCCCCGGGGCCACCCAGTAGTCCACCTGGAGCCCGATGGCATCCACGCCGTGGGACATGCTGGGGCTCCTGTGCGGGAAATGAGGTAGGTGCTTAGCAAAGCATGAAAGGAAACTGCATAAGAGACCCATGGGCCGTTGGAGACCCATGTGCACGGTGAGCTCACCCCAGCACGGTCAAGCCACTGCTCATGGAGGGGGACGAAGGGGGGGTGGCCACATCCTTCATCCCCGCCGTTGGAGACCCATGAGCGGGAGGAGATGTGGAGGGTACAGACAAGCTGAGGGCCATGGTCTCCTCTAGGTCCCCCCCTGTTACCGTGAGGGGGGCATATGGCAGAACGCAGCAGGAAACACAAGAAATAAAAGGTCGGATTTGCTTTTCAGCTCTACACCTGGCTCACAACAAATCAACAATCATAATATTCAGCACTTCTTGGGGCAAAGATGACTGCTGCCCAAATGAATCGGGATTCACCTGCAGACGCTGTACTGTGTTCGATTAATCCCACCTTCACAACCTGTGTGACACACAGACTCCCCGTCAGGCCTTGAGTTAAGCCCTCTGCCAAACTCAGTTACACAACAGCAGCAACGACAGCAGCAGCAGCAACAGCAGCAACAAGAGCAGCAGCAACAGTAAAAACAGCAACAACAAGAGCAGCAACAACAACTACAGCAGCAACAACAAGAGCAGCAGCAACAGTAAAAACAGCAACAAGAGCAGCAACAACAACTACAGCAGCAACAACAGCAAGAGCAGCAGCAACAACAGTAACAAGAGCAGCAGCATCAGTAAAAACAGCAACAAGAGCAGCAACAACAACTACAGCAGCAACAACAGCAAGAGCAGCAGCAACAGTAAAAACAGCAACAACAAGAGCAGCAACAACAACTACAGCAGCAACAACAAGAGCAGCAGCAACAGTAAAAACAGCAACAAGAGCAGCAACAACAACTACAGCAGCAACAACAGCAAGAGCAGCAGCAACAACAGTAACAAGAGCAGCAGCAGCAAAAACAACAAGAAAAACAACAACAACAACAGTCCCAAGACTGCCAAGGGCGAGGAGTAGCACACCTACCCCAACAAAAGGGATGAATTTCTGGTAGGAGTCTTCATCATTCCTAAAAGCAATATACAGTCATTGATAGTTACCCCAAAAACATCAGGAAAACAGGTTTTTTAAATAAATACTCAATAGAGAGGGTAGATATTGTAAACACCATATATTTACAACTGAAATGCAGGGCGTGAGAGTGCCTGGTGAGGCCCCCCCGAGCGGGACAGGGTGGGGCAATGGGACTCACATCCTGTGCTTGCAGGTCAGCATGGCCTCAGCGATGGGCAGCTGGTGGGTGACTGTGGCCCCGTTGATGTACTGTGCGATGCGAAGCCCCACGTCCAGCGACTCTGCAGCGGGAAGAGTCACGCCTGTGTCTCGCTACGGCGCCTAACTCATACAGCGTCAACGGGGAATGATTGGGCAGACAAACTCTATAGGCCAGGCGGTGCAGGTCCAACAGACCAGCCAGATTTATGGAAGAGATAAGGTAGGGGGGGGTACCGGTCTGCGGGGGCTCGCTGCGGTTGAACAAGTCCCTCCATGTGGTGTCCAGGAAGGTGGAGTTGTAGCGGTTGTCAAGGGATGCCAGGTGCTTGGCAACAGGATGCGAGCCTGTCATGAATAAAGACGGCCGCTGATGAGTTAATGAGAGGAATGGGTGCGAAGCCACAGGTAACTGCAGCTTAACAAATAAGTGCAGCAGGTCACGGGTCAAAGGTCACAGCAGGGTTAGGCTGCGCCGGCCGGCTTACCCAAAGGAATCACCAAAAAGCGGATGTGGCTGAGCCAGTCGGATGTCTTACTGGCCAACTGGGAGACAAACAAGCGCAGGATGGCCCCCAGGTAGCTTTGCCCCCCCACCACGGCCACCTTCACCGGTTTGGGCATGGAGGAGTTACAGTTACAGCTGCAGGACCAGGGAGGGGGTGGGGGGGCGGATCGGGAGACAGTAGGGTACAGTTGAGCTAATTCTCGCAAACTGCATAGGTGTAAGATTAACAAATGTAGGGTGAACAGACAGGTTGGCTCCGCCCCCATTACACTATGGCCAATCAGGTGAACAGACTCACAATTTCTGTATGCGAGTCAGGACGGCGGAGAGGACGGCCTGTATCTCTGCACCGGAGCATGTACAGACCACCGGCTGTTTCTGAGACTGCAGGACCTCCGCCACGTACTGAGGGTAGGAGACATTTACCCATAATGCATTGCCAAGCCTGGTACCCAAACATCTCAATTACTGGGCAGACATTCATTCATCCTCATCATACACGACAGCATTATTAAAAGACAGAAATACTGGTTATGCAATTTTTTTGCAACATCTAAGCTTGTCAGATGCACATGCAGACAAAGACTGATTACAGTGACTAAACACAGGAAATTCTGGGCAGAAGCATGTAGGGGGCGCTATCAGTTTGCCAGCCGGCTGTGTGTACCTGTCCCTGCCAGTCGCTGCCATTGACCAGGATCAGACTCTCCGGCAGGGCCGTGTCCGATAGCAGGATCTGGTTCAGCTGGTCGTACATGGCCTTCCTCGGAACCTACGGTCACAATCGGGCCCCAGGAGAGACTGGGTCAGCGCAGGGCCAACCAGCACATACCATAATACTCAGGCTCATGTATTCAGGGCATTACGGTAGAGTATCATGGCTGAGGAGAGGCTTTCACAGATCATACATTCAGGCTCATGTATTGAGGGCATTACGGTANATTACGGTAGAGTATCATGGCTGAGGAGAGGCTTTCACAGATCATACATTCAGGCTCATGTATTCAGGGCATTACAGTGGAGCAGGGGTCTCCAACTCCGGTCCTGGAGAGCTACTATCCAGTAGGTTTTCTGTCCCACTTGGCTTCTGATGAGCCACACCTGCTCCTGGTATTTACCTGAGAACAGGTGTGGCTCATCAGAAGTCGGGTATGATGGAAAACCTACTGGACGTTAGCTCTCCAGGACCGGAGTTGGAGACCCCTGCGGTAGAGTATCATGGCTGAGGAGAGGGTTTCACAGAGTAAACGCTGTGCTTTAGCAGAAAGCGTAAAAACTGTCATCTCATGCACAATTTAAACTCTGAGCCATGTATCACACCCACGTGCAAACCACAGACTCGCTGTCTGTGATCCGGCCTGCTGTCACCTTCAGATGGGGTCTTTATATACCGTGTGTCACACCACATCGTCCAAAGAGATTTCGACTTGCTAGTTTACGCCCAGATCGACTAAGCGTACGCTTCGCGGTCTGCGGTCCCTGCCCTGCTCTGTGACGTGTTATGTGTCTTCGGAAATTCATTTATTACAAATCTGTGTTAAAGGAAGTGGAACAACTTCTCAGAGAAGTTATTTCATGCTGTCTGCATATGGCAGAAGAAATTCACAGCACAGGGCACCGATGTGGTTCTCTGTTCCTCATACGGAGACATTGTACCATCTATTAATGGAAGGAAGGTGACGCAACTGAGTGTAAGCTAATGTCTGATTGGTGGATACCTGGGGTCAAAGGTGAAGACGTGAAGGAAAAGCAGGTCACATGGTGGGTGGGTGTTTTGGGTGTGAGAGTGCGGTGTTGAGGTATCTGACACGTGCCGGGGTGTCACGGTACCTGTGCGGCGTGTCCCAGCTCGGGGGAGCGCTCGCTGTCCGAGCTGTTGGTACGCTCGCTCATGGGCTTGGAGAGTTGGCGCTCCCTGGTGGGCGTACTGCGCCGCAGCCGGGGCGTGTGGCCGCCGTCCAGCCTGCGCGGCGAGAGCACCCAGGTCAGCGCTCCTCACAAGAAATGGGCACGTGGGATAAAGGGACGGCAGAGAAAAGCAGAGGGAGGAATCTGCAGCTTGAAGAAGGCTTGTGTGTGTGTGTCTGTCAGTGTGTGTGCGTGTGTATGTCTGTCAGTGTGTGTGCGTGTGTGTG